TGTGTGTGTGTGTGTGTCAGTCTTGTTCCCAGAGTTTTCCATGTGCTGGTCGGACTGTGAGGAATGCCTTCCTCTCTCATGGACCATACCCAGCTAAAGACAAGATCCACCTGGCCAGAATCATACGGTACACTTGTCGCTGTGTTTGTGTGTCTGTCTGTGTGTAGGGCTGAATCGATGCATCCGGCGAAGCATATCCACCAACTCTCCAGCCACTGAGCCAACATCCTGATTGGCCAGTCAGGTTGTTTATGCAGTAAGACGAGCAAAGCTTGACGTAGACGTTGCATAGGAGAACACATGGTGGGCTGGGAATACATCTAATGCAATATACTGTACAAACAGTACAAATGCATGCAAAAACCATGTGGACATCTGGACATGGATATAAATACATACGTTTAAACGTCATTGCACACACACTCACATAAACACACAAGGAGTTTATCCTAGTGGAAATCAGACGGAAAGTATTCAGTGTGGAAAAGGCTTACAGAGAACTAATGAATAATCAATGGATATTGATTAAATAAAAGACTAGCCTTGTGCAGAGGGAACAAGTGTGTGTATGTGTTTCATAACAATGTGTGGCTGTACTTGTGTGCTGAATATGTGTGTGTGTATTCTAACAGGCGTAGCTATGTGGGCGTGGAGCTGGTGCAGTGGCTGTGTGAGCAGTGTGTGTACGTACGCTGTCGGACTACTGCTGTGCGTGTCTGGCAGGTGCTGCTGGAGCTGGGAGTCCTGCTGTCTGGTAAAAAACACACACACACACACATATACACACACATATATACACACACATGCACACTAGCATGCCTGGAGGTTGCACTGTGCTTCAGAATTTAAAGTAACCTTCTAGCGACATCGGCAACAGTCTACACATCTGTGAAGAGACAAAGAATGAACCAGTTCACCAGGTAATTTCCAACAGAATAGAGAGATTAATTCACTTCTTCATTCACCTGCTCAACTTTCTAGAAGGTAAAAGGACTCTGTATCCACACACCCACCAATAATCCCAAACATCCTCTTTCTTTATTTAGCTAAGGCCATGTTGACAACTAGCATTTTACTAGACACTAAACCTTCTGATGAACTGAATCTTCCATCACTACACTTACAATGCCTGGATGTGAATTATATTTCTATATTCAATAAAGCTGACAAAGAAGGAAAAGTAGAAATCGTTTTATATTATTTACCCTATGTTTTGTTGAAACTATACTCAGTATGCTGTGGACGACACTTCCTTGTAATTCGGTTATAATATTCAAAGGCAGTTAATGTTTCTTTAACGAATGAGCAAACCTGATCCTCTTGCAGCTGCCGGCTTTTGAACATTTGCTCAGGTGCAGTTCATCGGTCCAGCTAATCCACCACAACAGATACAAAGAGTTGATCCAGGTTTTATTGTTGTCACCGTGTCTCTATTATTTCTCTGGAAACTAAAATATGTTATATATTACCATGTATACCACAAATGTACATTTTACATGATTTCTTTAATTCAGTGTCCCATTTTAGTGATGCACAAAGCAATGATTGTCCTGTTTAAAACGTTTAGGAACAGGATTTCTCCTACATTCAAATTACATTTGACCCCTGGCTGTTTAAATTTGAAAAACAGCTTATCAAATGAATCATCTCATATTCTATGGCTATCTTAAAAGAACAACAACTTGAAGGAATGCTGTATTCTCAATACTTGATCAACTGAGTACATCTGTGTACCAACATGCATCATTGCCTTTCCTTTCTGATAATGATGCAGGTAGGCGAGCTAACATGTTGGCCCCTGACGCTGCTACTTGTTTTTGTGTGTCTCTTCTTCCTGCAGTGGACCAGCGGGTGGTGTTTTCAGACTCCAACTCTTACTACCAGTTCAGCTTTGAGGAGTGTGACTCCGCCTCCTGCGAGTTTCGCTCCAATGAGGGGGATTGGCCAGAGGCTGTTAGGCTCCTCCTACAACTCGCCCCATACGTCCAGTTCCGCTCTGGAGGTGGGGCCAACAGCCCGTAAGTGTCCATCAATTCAACTGTCTGCAAGTTATCCTGAGATGGAAGGATGGTAGGGCTTTCAATGAACAATTAGTTTGACTTAGACTAGGCACGTAGTCTAATCCTCAGTTACCTTCACGTTGTAAAATCCATCCGCTGCTTCACTTGAATTAGTAGCTAACTGGTAACTTCACATTTGTTGTAAGGCAGTTTTATTTTTTAAAGAAGTCAAACCTTGATGTTGATCCTTTTATAGTTCACACACATTACATCTCAGATGATTTAGTGTCAGAATTGGGGCTGAAACAGTTTAGGCAAAAATGCACAGGGATTGGTGGAAGATTGAAGTTCCCACCATTTTGTCTTAAAGAGAACAACAGTGCTGTTTATGTGCCCCCTCTCCCCCCGTGCTGAACTGGACAGCGCTTACACTGAGTTTAGAATTCAGACAGATCAATACATATTGAATATTTTATATTTTCCCAGGTTTGAGTGGTAGTTTGATTTTCAAATAAAAACTGAAAGTAGTGGATGAAGATATAAATGCATATTATTATTCATATATTTATCTGTTGTGTGACAAGAGGTCAATAGGGCCAACCTGTTTCAGAGTTGTTGATGGTGAATGTGACTTAGATGTAAAATACTAGATGATCTCCATTGACCTGAAGTGGAAGCTCATTAATCTGGTAAAGTATAAGTGACAGCATTCCCGTTTAGATTTAAGATTGAGGTCATTTGTCTGTCTGGTGATTTACTGTGAAAAGTGACTGTTTGATTTAGTGGAAGTTAACACTTGCAAGTACTGTTTTGCAACATAACATACACTCACACACACACACTCTCCAAGAGCTTCCTCAAATCCCAGCTAGAAACCTAATCTTTATTCTGTGTTTTAAATCCTCAGTCTGCTTATGTGAGAGACACGTTCATATGCAGACGAACACACCTCCACATCAATAGAAGAAATACACTCATACACAAAAACTGACACATGGGGCGATCACTCATATACACGAGATGGGCTCTGACACACATATACACGCAGACACACACACACACATGCAGAGTGGTGTCAGCCAGAGTTCTCTGCTTTGCCGCTCCTGTGTGTGGGATTCCTGCTGAGGCTGCTACTGAACTCAATCTGTCACTCAGAGAAAGAGGGACAGAGACGGGTGGTGGCGGTGGTGTCTGTGTGTGTGGGGGGGGGTTAACACATTTTTTTTTAGTATATATGGAGAGCGAAGGGAACAAATTCATCTGTGTGTCAACTTCAGAGGGTTTTTACAGACACCAGGGAGAGAGCACGATAGCAAGGGGAATTGAATGTCATATAAATCTTATGTATCTTCCTGTACGTACTCCTATGTTCTGCATCAGTTACTGTACGTACATTATAGTGGATGACATTCATACTTAAGGGCACTCAACCACAGTGTCTCCATGGGTTGGCAGGGTGCAGAGGAATGGGTGGATGGGAGAGGGGCGTTATTGACATATTGATGCCATTTTTAGCACGTTTGTTTCACCTTCGCAGATTGAACATAGATGAGATTATATAGTCAACATCCTAACTCTGTCTGTCACTTTGACCCTGCTGCTGTCTGTGTCTCTTTATGACTGTCACACCATTTCTCTGCAGGAATCCTCTCCAGCTCTCTCTGTCTCACACCATCCCTCTCTCCCCATTTGTCTCTCTTCGTCTCTTGTTGGTGTAAAGGAGAATAACTGTAGCTGTGAGGGAAAACACCTGATATAACTCCACTGGCTGCTTCCTGGAGACTTGGTTAATACACTGACCTATTAGTTAATGTTGACTCTTGATTCTTGTTGTGGAAGTTGGAAAAAGAAGATTTAAAGAAGAATTGGCAGAAGGCTAATAAAATGCAGTGATTCAAATAAAATAATAGCTTATATCGTTTTTAGAGTATGTCAAATATGGTGCATCTATTCTAGTCTATAGTGCTTCTTGTCTTCATAAAGTCTTTATTCAAAAACAGGTGTTGCAAAAGGGTAGGGTCATCTTATATAAAGTACATCTGCATGCAGTTTCTCTTGCTTACATCAGACTTGTTACAAAATATCTAATTAGAGAAATACACCATTGTTGAAGGTGCTGCAGCAAGATTGCAAATGCAGCCAGGTGTATCTGATGCTCATGCTCCTCATGAATTATGGCTCCCTATCTCTTGCTGTAGTTTAATCTAATGAGGCAAGCATTAAATTGATACTGATAACTTGATAAGGCAACATTAGCTGACTGTTATGCCTCCTTCTAGTGATTTCTACTTTAGTGAAGCCCTAGAACAACAGGCGACTAATTAAGTGGGTTATCTCTTCTGCATCATGTGTAGAAGATGTTTCTTAGTGTGTCATTAATCAGTTTGTGTCAACACAGCCAGCTTGCCTCCAAGGATTGCTGTGTATGAACAGGAATATTTTCTACCAGGCACATTGTGGTCGTTGAGGTTTATTAGTTTATTGTTTATTGTTCACTGCAACGCTCGACACAAATAAATGTTCTTTTGTTGGATACATTTAACAAAACTCTCAAGTTTCAAACTTCCGCTTCGTACATCATAGTACCTTGAATAAATCTTAAAAAAAAGACTGTTATTTTAACTGAGGGTCAAATAAATACAGTATACAAAAAACATGTCTTTCCTGATCTCTCTCCATCTCCATCTGAATCAAATTCAGTTTCAATTTAATGAGCTTCATTGGCAGGAAAATGTCTCTCTGTCTCATTCTCTCGCTTCCACTTTGCCTCACATTATAGTAAGGGAAAAACTCATATATAGTGATTTGTTTTTAGAAGAGCTGTGTAGAGCGAAGGCATTACAGTTGGAACTATGAAAAACTGCACACTGCCCCTACAGCAGAAGTTGGTGCATTTATTCATTTAAAGTTAAAGCCATGTCAAATTCAGCTTTGTCAGATCATGGAGATGTTAACTATATGCACTGATTACAAACCTATTCTGTATATTAATCACATAACTTCCATATAGACTCCAAACACAAGGCAGTATAATGTAATCCAATACAGTAGCCCTGAAACAAAGGCATTTAAGGCTATATGTTCAGATTATGTTGAGAATGTTTAATATTTTGTCACCCTGTATATATGCCTTAAACTAAATATCTAATGTTATGCAATGCACTACAACAGCAATTTGAACTGCTAATTCTGTGTATTTGATGCCGCAATATCTTGTTCACTGCCTTTATAATATATCAGTGTTTTATTGTGTGACAGTGGCAATTTACAACAGTTTAATGCACAAATCTGTGTACTCTCCAAAGGACCTCTCTTTGCTCCCACATTATACTGTATATTATATGCAGTACATTATCTATATACATACTTTATTGTTTGGTATAGTAGGAGTAGTAATTCTCATTGACTGACGCAGTCAATAACAATTAAGTTGCCAGTTTTTCTGCCTTTTGAAATACAGTGTTCTTTGCATATCTGTGTGCAGGAAGTGCAGAATTGCCAGGAGATAAAATATGACACCTTAGCTTGGGAGGAGAAAACACACTTGCTTGCTTTGCATGATGCTCTGGTCCAAAAAGGGCAAGAAGCCAAACAGACTCGACAGAATGCTGAAGGATTGGCTAGAGACGAGGGCATCCAAATGAGATTACATTCTCCTCCTCCACAAATCTCCATTGTGACACAAGCTTTTAATTCTGTGTTCGGTTCAGATCACAGCCACATCTTCTTATGCAGTAGGTAGATTAAAGTGTATAGTCATATTTTTTTCTTGTGTGAGGAATCTATATCAAACATAGGTTGACCTATTGTTTAGAATAAGAATCGGTAAGGCTTTGATTAGGATGTGTTCTGGTAAAAACTGAATATTACTAAACCTTTTTGGTTTTTTGGTAAGTACAGGGAGGCGTTACAAGCACAATCCTCTATCAATAGTGCTCTGTGCTGCTTAATGATTGGTGACACACCTCCCACTGTGCCTCTCTTCCAGCTCTGGTACACTCGACTCATGGTGAGTCACCAAATTACCAAATGAATGGCGGCTACAAAAGATTAATGACCCTGATGAGAATAAATTTAGCATGATGACTTAGAATAGACTTTGTACATCTCACGATCCACTAATGGACAACAAAAGATAAAAATCCCCGGCATTGAACCGCAGTGACAACTTGATCATTTGCCCTTGTTCATCCAGCTCTGTCAGAAGTTTTTGTCATCAGTTATTGGCCTTTAAAGGATCAGTGTGTTGGATATATTGGCATCTTGTGGTGTAGTTGCAGATTGCAACTCCCTCGCTGTACTCTCCCTTTTTAACTGTGAAGGAGAAATTACGATGGCTGTGAAATGCGCAAAAAAAACCCAACGTGAACGGCTAGATCTAGAGTTAGTGTTTGTTTTTCAGTTATGGGATACAGTAGAAACATGGCATTTCAACATGGTGGACTCAATAGAAGTCAGCCTACAGTGTCTGTAGATATAAAAGGCTCATTCTAAGGTAGCAAAAACACAACAATTAACATACTTTTAATTATTATATCCCATTTTTGCCAATAAATCCTCCATAAATACTTATGGGAAAGCACAACCACCAAACCTCTTTTCTTCTGACAGTAAAAATATATATGTGTTATATTTTTACACTCCTTTAGGGCATCTGTTGGGTCTACCTGCCTCTGTCTCTCTCTGTCTGTGTCTGAGCCGATAGCTGAAGTGTCAGGCTGAGGGCTACGTGTTATCACCATCTCTCCCGCTTCTGCATCTATCATTCCCTTATCAGATTACAGTGTACAAACACACACATACACACACACACACAGAGTCACACAGGGCTTCATCTTCTTCACTGGGATCTGTTGATAAAAACCAAATGTATGCAAATTGGTATGTCTGTGTGGGTCTGTGTGTGTGTATGCACGTGCAGATGCCTGAGTAAGAGAGTGTGTGTGTGTGTGTCTGTCTGTCTTGTGCGGGGGTGATGCAGTGTGTGGGAGACCAATCCAAACAGTGGTTTTGTAAGAGAACATATTATATGAGGGGCCCTTGGGTGCAGTCTGCCGCTGTTGAAGACAAACTCTACAACCTTGTATTATTGCTGTGGGAATAATGCAGAGTTTACCCCAAAACAACCACCTGTTTATACATCACACACATACACACACAAATGAAGTTATACACAAATGTATTCACAGATGCAGTCAGGCCTGGAAAAAAAATCAGTCACACATCTATATACATTGTGAACACATGTTCAAGCAGCCGCCGCATTGCCGCACACACACACACCCTCACTAACATCAATAGAAGGGTGTGTCTGGGAGCTATTTAAAATGAAACCACATGAAAGAGCAAATGGGGGTGCAGATAGAGATGCTCGATACAAAGACATGTGAGCAGTGAAGAACTAGAAAGAAAGATGGGAGGGAAAATAAAATATTCACACAGAACATATACTCGTCTGATGTATGTTTATCACGTGCCACGGTTTTCAGTTAATTCTTTCTCTATGAAATATCAAAATTGTAAAAAAAAATGTCAGTTTCCACAGTGAACAGTTAATTTGTTTGATTAATTGACTAATTTGCTTTGTCTCTAATTATATTTCATGCCATTAAACTAGGTGTAGTACAGGATTGAACAACAATGGTCAGATGTTAGCTGTATCTGTCTTCTTGCAATTCACATTGCGATCAAACTTCTGACTAGTTTGGTGTCTGAGAAACCAGTGAGCAACAATTTGGAAGACACTGTTGTTTAGATATAACATTCAGGTTTCTTTATATAAAGGTGGCCTCTATCCAATTAATATATATGTATATAGAAAAGAACATCCAGCTGAGAAGCAGATGTTTTTGTAGGCTGTACTTCTTTTCTAGATATACCAGGGGGCAGTATAGAGTGGACCAAAGTTCTGCAGGAAACTTTTTTCTCTGGAGACTGTTTGATCAGGATATAATGCACCTGTGAGTAAAGCTCTGCACTGTATGTGTGCATGTGTCTGTTCAAGGTCAGAGGAGGACTCTGAAGGCAACAGGGACATCTGCAGTGAGATTCTCCAGATGAAAGCTCTCGAGAGGCTCACTTCTACGGTCAGTGTGTGCATGTGTTTCTGAAGATTGGTAAATACAGGCTCATCCATAAAATACACAGCATTTATTTCTGTGTTTTGTACAGGTACAAAGTGAGTTGGCAGCTGCTCTTGCCCGAAAGACTCGCAAAGCTTGTGAGTATACATTTAAGCTGAGTGTGTGCACGCTTTCCCGAGAAGTTCTCCTGTTATGTTTTTGCTTTTCCAGCTACATTATGACATTATGAGAACACGGAGTGACAAAGACAGTGATGCGTAATAAGTGTAAAGAACTATCCTTAATCATTTGATTCTGTTTGGTTGCAGTATCAGAGCAGGACTCTGAGACGACAGAGACGAGCCAACAGGAGCCTCGCACACCCAGCGAGGAGAGCAGCCCGGTAACACACACACATACAAAGACATACATCATTTGATCATACATTGGCCCCCAATCCTGATCCCTCAGTTAATTTTCACCCTCTGCCGAAAGGAGTTTTCCTAATCTGGACAGTGCACACTAGGCCAACAATAAAATTAGAAAAGCCAGTCCAATTTAACATAGAAATATTCCCAAAATATCTCTGCATTAAGAAAATAAAGCTTGTATATAGTGTATAGTTTGCTATAACATCAGTGGAGAGAGTAATGTTAGTCTGGAGTTGATTTGGACAACCTCTCTTTATACGCATCATAAACAAAAAACAAAAAAGGTCAAATGCAGTTTTTTTTTTCCATCTTCAGCTTTTTGATGAAATGTTTGAAATACATGCAAAGCAGCTGCTGCTTCAACCTGTGCGGGGGAAAACACATGCTGTCATTGTGAATATCATTACATGAAAAAGCTGGATCTATTTGTTCATGCTGCTCCACACTTTGCATGTGTATTGCAGCGCTGTGCATTTGAAATAGGTTTCTGTGTTTTATGGGGCACAGTAAAGCTTTTTGACAGCTGTGGTAACCAGATTGCTAAAAACAAAGGACTGGAAATGGACCAGGCTAAATATGACCAATACCAACCAATTAAAATTATAATTTGACTATCTCCAACACAGATTGGCCTTGGACATCCATAATAACAGACCGTAACTGGCTTATTCTGACTCCCTTGCCCTCTTTTAAAGGTCAATGAGTGCAAGTTAAGTGCATGCGTGTGCATGTGCGTACCTCCACGAGGTTGTTGAACGTAGAAAATGGGGTCAAAAGAGTGCGGTGGGGCGCTGTTCGCTCTCTAGTCCCATCTCTATACAGTGGAAACCTTTTTTTCTGCATCAATTATTCATTCTCTGATTACACCAGAGATGAGGAGAGAGGAGGAGAGCATGAAAAAAAGTACGTAACATGTTTTTGGCTTGTGGTTTCATAATACAAAGAAATGAAGATATTTCCCCTCTCATATAATATTGGACAATTTTAGTGGCCTAAAGGGGTTTTTTTTTTACTAAGGAAAAATAAAGAAAAAATAAGCTCAAATGTTTTTTCTTGTTTATGACCCAAGTAATGATTTTGTTTCTATTGGTTCCAGCTGATTTCCGTTCGCTGCGGCTCCGTCATAGTGTTGTAGTTTCAATGTCCAGTGAAAATATGTCAGAAGAAGAGCATTCACTTAAGCCACATTTATAATATACTGTAGTTTAGGGTTGTTTTATTTTTTATTTAATTTAATTTTGTGTTTTAAAACTCTATTGTAAACACATTGGCAGCTCAATTCGATTTAGTAACAAAGGCTTTGTGGCTATACTTACATAGGATGTTGATACAGCAGATCTCACAGCACAGCTGCTGTCATGAACCTGTGTTTTTGTTTAGTTTGTCTGTTGATGTTGTGATCATAACAGTGATTTTGTCTGCAGTTTCAAAGCTCGAGAATGACTGCTGATTAAAATAGTTGGCTTTTTGTGAGCCAAGACCAAATTTTATACTCAACCTGTTGAAAACAGAAACAGAACATTTTATGAATGAAAGGAGCTATATGATGAGTTCAGCTACATTAAAAGTATTGTGATCACGGACAGCAGGAGGGGACAAAGCCTTGCCTCCTTGCATCTCTTTTTTATTTTCCTCTCTTTCTCTGCCTCTCTCACTACAAACTACAAAATGTATTAAACTAGTTGTGCTGTATATGTGTCAAGACAAGTCAAAAACAAGTTAAAGGCACAATTAAAATTAAAATTACTTTTATGTCAATTGCCAATAAACATAGACAGTTATATACATTTACAAGTGAATTTCATGCTTCAGAGACAAGCTGCTCTGGTCAAATATAACCCTGGCATGTAAAGATGGCAGCGGAGAGAAAAAGCCTCACATGACCCATGAGGTCACAAAGGCAACTATGCAACACGTCATGATTCGATGGACGTAAGATTCATCCTGCAATCCTTTCAGGAGGTTTGGGAACCGCTGCAGATTGTAGTGGTAACATGAGTATTTTTTTAGTTTATATGACATAATGAGACAGAGGACAATAAACCACACATTGCTGCAGTACAGAATGTCAACATGGATGAAGAATAAAACTTATTAGTAGAGTTAAAAACAATGGAAATATTTTACATATTCAACTCCACAGAAACTTAACTGGATTGAAGTCTAATTTAGTTTCAGTTATCTGAAAGTTTTAGATTGTCATAGGTCACAGACACGTGAGATTAAAGAAATTACAGGATAGAATGACAGAGGAAGGGAGATAGGCCGAGACGTCCACACAATACAAACACAAACACACACAGACAGGTTTATCTTGGTATGTTCTGTGTCTGGGACAAGTAGCTGAAAACAGGTTAACAGGAAGGGACGGGGCTGTGGCTCTGATATAGTGTGTGTGTGTGTGTGTGTGTGTGTGTACGTGGCCATTCTACTAGATAAGAGTTGTCACTGGGGGGAGTTTTCCTAGTAAACAAAATGAAGCGTGGGAGTATGCCATAATGTTCTGTGTGTGTGTGTGTGTGTGTGTGTGTGTGTGTGTGTGTGTCTTTGCTAGAGCATGGCACCGTGGGATAACTGAGCTCACAGGAAGAGTTAACCAGCTCTGAGCCAAATGAAATACCCCTCTCTCCCTCTCCCAAGGAAAATAAACAGACCATGCTGCCCAGCGCTGGTGATAACCATCATACTAGCAGCACCCTACAGGGAGCACACACACAGACAGACACAGAGTCATGTTTTCTAGTTTTTTTTTCAGGTCTATGCAAGGACCAAGCCATTAGTTTCTCCGGTATCCTACAGCTCTTTTAATGAAATATATTCTCAGCCTATGTCTCTCTGTTTCCTTTTCTGCTTTCTCTTCAGGTCTTTAGTTCTTAGTGTATGCTTCTTTGTGTTTCTCTTTTTCTTTTTTTAAGACATCACTTGTAGATATTTTATATTTAGACAATTACTGTGTACTTAATTTGGGCTACAAGGATGGTTAACACAACTATAGAAGGGAGGAGGCAGACACCCCAGCCCACACTCTTCCCACACACACACACACACACACTCCCGCCCACTTATACTACTAATCACACACACTCACTCTTTCTCCGCCAGATCCTCTGACACAGAGCAGTCAGACATAGACAAAGAGAGAAGTGCAATAGATAATGGGAATTACAGACTTTAATAGATAGAAAGAAGAAGAGACAGAGAGACACAGGATTACGATTTCATCTCATTCTCCTCACATGGACATAAAGGGACAACTGAAAACTTGTCATTGCTTGTTCCTGGATTATGCCCAAATTGCATTCATTCTCCCTTGGACAATAACACTGAACTTTCTTGGCCTTCATCCCGCAAACACTTTTTGACAGTTTCCACCATGTCTTGGGACTGCGGCTTGAGATATGTGTTCATGCCTCCTGTGTTGCAGCTGGGTGGGGTGTGTGCATTGCGGGGCGGCGGTGGCAGCGGCAGCAGCGGTGGAGGAATGGGGACGTGCAGCCGCGAGGAGCTGACCAGCCGGCTGGGACTGGAGGCCGTTCAGCGGCTGGCCAAGGACGGCTGCCGGCTGCTGCAAAACCACAACTACCGGCTGCCTGACAGGAACCAGGCGGTGAGTAAAGTGCGTGATAATGCCACCTATATTTTGAAATGTCATTAATATCATACACTCTCTCTGATGGGGCTGGTGATGTTGTTCTGCAAACTCATTGGTGTTTCACCATGTAATCTGCAAAGCGAGTTGTGGCTATATGGTTAGTATGAGTAGAGAGTAGCGGACGTCATCATGTGGTAGATGCTGTCATTATTGTTGTCACTTTTAAGCACACATACTTCAGGTCTGAGTTACTCACTGGATTCGGGTGAGGGATCATGTGAGTAAATCTTCATCAGGACCATTCTGATTTGTGTTGTCTAAAGGGCAGATATACAGGTGTACAGCATGTCTGCTCACTTTTGTGCATCATCCGAGTACATGAGAACACATCTGTGCACCGACACAGACACAGACACGTGCAAACTGAAGATGCACGGAGCTTCGCTTCATTCAGATCATTTTATTTTAAACATCCACTAGCTCTTTAGCTCGTCTTATGTGGGCGTTGATAATGACTTAGTGCAATGCGATCTCTTTTACATGCTGTCAAGTACTGTATGTGTGTGTGTCTATGTTAATTTGTACATGTGTGTAAGTTTGCTGGCTAGAACTTGTAATCATGTGTCGTAGCTTGTGTGCGTGCGTGTGTGTGTTAATGCACTGCTGGTGCTGTGGCAGGCTGACTCAGTGTGTGCGCATAATGAGTGGGGTGTTAGTGAAGCGCTGTACTGTATAATCCTGCTCTACAGTACACCTGAGGGCAGGAAACGAAGCGAATGCAGTCTGATTTCACCCTACATCACGATGCGTGTGTTTGAGAAATGTACCACATTTCTCTTCAGCTTGGTGAGTTTGACTGAAGCCCAGCCTTGGGGATTTTCCAGACTGCATAGGATTTCACTTTCATTCTATATACAGAAGTAGAAACATAATGTGTTTGATAACAGCCTCACTACTGTGTGAATGTACGGAGAAATATTCATGTAAAGAGAGGGTTCAACTACACTAGGCTTCTCTCTAGACACTACATACTGACCTTTTTTATTTATAGAACAATTTGCCCACTTTTAGGGTTAACTAGAATCTCAAAGTATCATGTCAAGTCCTCTCAAACTGACGTAGGCCTAACTTACATGATAAACCTTTTTTAAAACATTTTTCTGAATAAAAAGCTTAAGGTAATAGCATTTCCAAACATATATAGTTTGTGCTGAATTACAGGCAGATGTGTATGAAAATATGCAGAAGTAATGATCTTGTCTTTGTTTTAAATATAGAGACGATATAGTTTCAAAGAATCCTGGAGCAAGCAGTTGAGAATGACTGATGTGACATTAATCGCAGAGGTGTTTTCTTAAACTTAAAATCTAGTTAAAGAGAGATTTGAGGGAAACATTGGTAACAGTGTTGATGAATAAGTGTTGCGAGGTTAATGATGAAACACCCATGTAGTTCAAAGGTCCTTCGGTCTACATACACATGCCATTTCTTAGATCAGACAGAGTGGGAACTTTGTTTTTGTTGATAAAAGCAGCATCAGTAGCTTTTGCAGGAGTTGTCAAAATATGATTTCTGTTGGCATTGCCAGGGTTTACATATTATCTTAAAGGTCCAGTGTGTAACATTTAGAGGGAAAATGTATATAATATGCATAGGTACGTTTTTATTAGTGTGTAATCACCTGAAAATAAGAATAGTTTTTTGTTACCTCAGAATGAGCCGTTTTTATCTACAGAGGTAGTGTAGGTCCTCGTCCATGGAGTCTGCCATGTTGAACAGCCATGTGTCTACAGTAGCCCAGAACATATTATAAGCCAAATACTTGTGTTTTTTTTCGTGAGTTTCATGGCCACCTTAGTTTCTTCTACACTTGGGATGAGATGGTGAGTCGAGGGGGTTGTAATCAGCAACTACACCTCTAGATGCCACTAAATCCTACACATTGATTTTTTTAAAAGAAAATTCTGTTAAATTAAAAAGAAAAAAATGATATATATTATTAAATGTGCACCTCCATATACTAACTAACAGTACGAGATATGTAAAACAGTGATATTTAAGACTTGTGGTGGCATGTTATTAGATGTAGGGGAGGCAAAAATGACTGGATTATAGCATATGCAAATATCAATAAAATAAAATGGAATAACATCACCAGGTACTGAGCTGTCATGAATGTGCGTCAATGCTGTGCAAGCAATAAAGTCCTTATAAAACTAACTTGTAACTTAAAAATCATTCATCGTGTTACATCAAGCACCACTTCAATTCACAGAGGGTGCCAGTGGTTACAGTAAAAGTGTCAGAGGAAATTAACCAAACAATTCTTGCAAGTTTATGGGCATGATAAAAGGTCGTTAGTCTTGTCAAAGTAGATCAGAAGGATTTGTTGATCACATGGTGATGCTTTTCAGTAATGCACCACACATGTAAGGAGGTGTGTAACAGGTTTGATAATACCTGCCAGCTCATCGTCTAGCACAGGCTGCAAAATGTGGCAGAAACCAAAACCAAGCAAACAGCTCGAATCACCACAAAGACCTCTCTCCTTTTACTGGGTTGTCATGGTGATTTTTTTTTTTTAGTTTCCTTTTTTTCCATGACAAGACAAGCTCTGACAAACCGGTGTGGGCTGTTTCCATAGTGATATAACTCGTGTCAGTATAGTATATTGGGTGAATCTCAGCCTTCTAGTCATTTCAGACTTGCATTTGTACTCTTCCACATTTGATTCAGCCATTAAACTTTATCAGAGGTCAACCTGCACAGCACTGTGCGTTACTTTCTAATTTCACTGCGTGTTTGTGTGTGTGTTTGTGCATGTGTGGTTGTATGTATGTGTGTTCCTGACCTAAAAGCATTGTGTTTTCATATTCTTATCCATTATTTCCAGGAATTGGGCCTAGAGCTATCATAACACAGATATGGCTTGGTCACTATCAGCGCAGACACCAACATAAACACGCACACGCACGCACACAATATGACGAATTGTAAGAGGAAAGGTGGGCCTCATGGAGGGCCTAAAGGAAGCACTCCGTGTTCCCTTCCTGTTCCCGTGTGTGTGTGTGTGTGTGTGTGTGAGAAAGAAAAGACAGACGGACAGACTGAGTGAAAGAGAGACAAAGAGAGGGCAAAAAAGCTTTTCCTCAAAGTCCTGATTTCATAAGAACCCAAAAATGTGTTTAATTTGTTTGCAGTTTATGACCCTGTGAAGGCCACAGCAGGTGCACGTCCTCTGGCCTCTATTCTCTCGTTCCAAACCTCAAACCTCTAGAGCATGAAGTCTGACCATTCAAAGACAGTGACAGAGAGAAAGACTTGGCTCAAGCATGATGAGGGAGAGGAAACAGAAAAAGTGTTTCCAGGAGTGTAGAGAAGAGACAGTGAGGAGGAAAGAGTGTAGACGAGGTGAAAGCACAGATGGTTGAATTGGAGGAAGGGATGGGAAGTCAAAGTCAAGTCAAAGTCAGCTTTAATGTCAACGGAAAAGGAAGAAATGGAAGGAAAGAGACTGACATACCTGTTCGCTGAGAACAAGTGACTGTCCTGAGAACTGAGTTATGGAGGTTTGTACATATGTGGTGTGGCTGATCCAGTTTTGTCATACACCAGTTTGGAAGAGTTGGACTTAAAAGGTTCTGTCCATCATAGCTGCCCAGAAATGTCCCACCCAACCTACAACCCACTTATCCCAAAGCCTGACATATTACCATTTTTGGCTGAGATTAACTAATCAATCAGTTTTTGAAAATTAGATTTTCAAAGTTGTGTTAATTGACTTTCCAGATTTTTCCTGGCCCACAATTTAAAAAGTTTGGATAGAACCGATATGACAGTTAGATTCTGTCTCTTTCTCTCACTCACTGCTTCTTGTATTTCTCACTTTTCGCCACTCTCTTCTGTGTCTCTCACTTTCCGTTTCGGTCTATTGCCTTTCATCTTGCTTTCTTTTCTTGTTCTCTCTCTTTTTCTGTGTTGCATAACTTTCTAACCCCCTCCTCCCCACAGTGTTCGAGTGTGTATATTTTCCCTTTTCATGCCTCACATTCTTTCTCAGGCTACATCAATGTTGTTCTTGTGAGCTGCTGTTTGCACTTAAATCGTATCAGATTGTTTGTGTGTGTGTATTCATATGTATGTACATATAGTTACATATAGTGGGAATGTTGCCAGACTTATTTTTGTTTTGGTGCATTTTGTGGAAGCCTTTTGATCATGTGTGTGTTTATAATGCCACCTTCCTCCACTCTTGGCTCAGAGTTGTTTTTCTTGGCATCTGTGTAAAGAGTGTGAGTGTGTTATCGGAAAGATCAACAGTTTTCTGCTGTATCGGGAACACAGTGGCACTTTTTCTTTTCCTTTGTTTTTATAGTAGTTATTGCATAATTGGTTATGCAATATCTATTTCCTTTTTGGAGACTTTTGATATAGCATCCTGGTTCATATTTGAACCCTGGATGGATGAAGTGGTCTAATGGCCCCTTTAGACCACTTAGCCACCAAGCTTGTTATCTTGGGACCACATCTGGGCCTCTGGGTGCGGCCTGGGTGCCAGCCCAAATTGTAATTAATGGCATGCAGTGTCACATCTCTTTACATCACTGCCTTATTTATCAGCTGCAAGCATCTCTGTGTTGCTAATCCTTGAGGACATTTCATTTCAGCATGTTACATAATGAACAGGCAGGGATTCTTTGAAAGGACACATTTTCCACTTTGAAGACCTGGCAGTCTTTTGTGTACTGCAAATCATGTATAAAACAATGTGTGTCAGAATATTGTGTTGGTCAACTAAAGGCTGGGTAGTAATACAGTGTAATCCTTTGCCTTATACTTATTTACATTGAAATGATTATAATGCTGTTAAATAGCCATGAATAATGTTTCTGTTAATTGTGGCTGGATATGAGGACTAAACAAACAGTTATAAAGCTTTATAAGCTTTATATCTTAAAACATTTTCAAATTATGCTACTTAAAAGTATAGTTTTTTAGAGTGTTCAGACAAAATGGAGGCTTTGCTACTGGGAATCAAATCAGAGTCTCTGCAGTAGTGGGCGAGTGTTTTTTTTTTTTCCTTTTTAAAACCTATGAACTGCCTGAACGCCCCTACAGTGAATCATTATAAGGTGTCGAAATAAACAACAATATTCTGTGTTGCATTTGCAAGTGTTAAATCATCATTATCCTTTAGCTGTAAAATAGATATGGATAGTTAACATTGGAACTGAAGCTTGAGTTGTTGAATCAATTGTATTTATATAGTCAAAAATCACAAATTGGCCTCAAGGAATTGTTTAAATAAGATCAATGTCAATGGTCAATCAGCCCAAATGAAATGGCGGAATTGTAATAAAAACATAAAAAGAAAATGTAATGGAAATGTTAAGAAATATACACAGCAGTACACCTGAGGGAGAGGATCCAGTGACCTCAGTCCGTTTCACATCTGTATGATAATCCAGTGGAATATGAGTAATCAGGGCATGTTCACACACACACTCAGAGCACTTGGGGCATGTTGTTTTGTCTGACCCAAGTCAGACCCCACCTGCTGTCTCTCTGAATCAGACAACTCCTTTCATCAGACGATCAGACAGAGATAGTGTGTTCACTTGTTTGTGTCTGCCTGTTTATTGAGTTGTTTGTGTGTGTGTTACAGAGATATCTGTGACTGCATTAGGAGTGCTCTGTCTCTGGGCTCCATGATGTCTAAAATGAAATCAAGGTTGCAAATGTTATCACAGTTATTGATTACTGTACTGTTGGCACTTTGTATGAACCTTAGGACTTTTTCTTTAACGTCACTGTGATATGTAAGTGTGTGTGTGTGTGTGTGTGTGTATATTAAAGAAAGAAACGGTGCAACAGAAAGGCAGGCCTGCTTAGAGAGCTCTCTGTGTCAGTAGTGATTGCTGCTCGATCCCTCTGGCTGCGACAGAGACTGCAGCGAGCAGCTGGGGGAGAGACGTTGCTTCTTTATCTCTCCTCCTGCTTCTGTCCTCTGCCTTTGATCTCTCCGCTCCTTTTTCTCTCTTCTCCGTCGGGCTGTTTCTTATTGTGCTCCTTTGTCCATCTGGAGCGCTGTCGCCGTCGCACTGTCGCTGCAGGTGTTGGCGTGTATGTGCCTGGAGTCACAGATCAAGTTGCCTGCTCATTTTTGGAGCAGGAGATCATTTCAAGTGCCAGCCCACATTCCTTGTTGTCCCCATTGTTATGTATTACACAATACAATTTCTTCTGAAGGCAGGAAATGCAATACCTCCCATTGATGGTGCCAACAGTATCTGTGTGTGCATGTGTGGATTGGTGCTGCATTTGCCTATGTAATCGTTTTAATCTTAGGTAAAGGGTCTGGAGCCCAACTGATAATGGATTTTTTTAGGTCAACAACAATATTGGACAAAAAATCTGACTATGACATATATTGATTTATACTGATTTTCTTTTTCAACATAAACACATTAGATAAAATAAATTTTTCATTATGATTACTAAACTTACCTTAGACGTATCTTTGGTATTTTTTGGCTGTAATTTCTTCTTACTTAACTCACATCATACCCAGAAACCTATATATCTTGTAATAAGCTAAAATAGGCCTACAATATCGACCTGGCTGTCATTTGACCTCTACGGGTCACACAGGTATTTTTTTGTCTTAGATTAGGGCTGACTGGGTTTTCAGTGATTAGAGTCAGTTTGGACACGGTTAGGATACAAATAATGTAGGCAGATGCATCACATTTATTTTATTGCCTGTTGATTCTGAAATGACATAAAAAAAACATCCTCTACCCTTTTTAAATGGTCTTCCAGCAGTTTTGTCCTTTTTTCCCTTTGTGACATGTTGTCCCTCTGTTTTGTCCTCTCTTTCCTCTCTCAGGAGGCACTGGGGAGGGTTTGTCTGAAGGAGAGAGGACGGGACGTATTGGTGTTGCGGAGAGTGACATCATCAGTGACGTCGCCCTCGGACCGGCCCTCACCCACATCGTCAGGGGGCGGGTCCAGAGAGGAGGATTGCGACAAGAGGTCAGTCCCCCTTCCTACATAATAAGAGCCCTCCACACAAACAGTGGCAACAAAAAACATAATCATAGTACTCCTCCCTCTCTTTTTCAGTTTTTTACTCTGGCATCTAATTTTGCAACCACACACTCCTGCACATACATGCAAAATAACAGTAGTGCTGTCAAGTGTGTGTGTGTGTGTGTGTGCGTGTGTGTGTGTGTGTGTGTGTCTGTCTAAGATAATGTATGCTTTAGCTTCTGGCACAGAGCGGGATGAAGAGAATGGCTTTTTTGTTTTCAGCTGAAAGGGAAAAAAATATGACACCAAGACTGGTTACTTCCTTCTGCAAATCATTGTATGGGTTTAGAATCGTATGTGTGTGTGTGTGTGTGTTGTGTGTTTGTGTAAGAGAGAGAGATTGTATACAAATGCATTTCCTCAAAGTTAGTTTCTTTTGTGCAGTGTCTGTGTATTTAAGCCAGTTTGTGCCAAGACCTAAGGCACAATGCAGGGAGTGTCAGTGACAGGCAGGTTAAGTGGGTGTATGTATGTGTGTGTAGACTGCTTAGCATCGTCACTAGCAATCAGTTTGCTCCGAGTGCTACTGTAGGAGTTGTCAGAGAACGGGTTTTAATCTATGGAGCTTTTAGCTGACAGAGGCGGAAGGGAACGCAGTTTTACCCCACAGGAGAGCACCCTTCCTGGGATAGAAAAGCTTTAGATGAGGGCTGATCCTGTGGGAGTGTTTGGATATGAAGATGACCACCGAGCTAGCTACACTTGCAGAGGCAGAAGAGGACATAGATGATGAGGATGATGATGATAGCAGTCATGACGAGGACGGTAGCAGTTCAGAAATCTGTACATTTGATGTTCCTCATTTTCGTTACATCGATGACGACGATGTGGAGGAGAATAAGGATGAGGAGAGGGGTGGAAGCGGTCGTACTTGGTGCTCAATCACTAGTGAGGAAGATTGTTTCGACTCTTCGTCTTACAGGTATGTCGTTGTATCGGGGACACCGCTCAAGATCTTGGAGCATCTGCTAAGTGACTTGCGGCTGGATGACCAAAGAGGGGCGCCAGAGAGCAGGGAGAGCGGTAAGTTTGTCCGCACGCACACGCAGGTGAATACACGTCTTGTAAACGCTGTGCAGAGACACATCTGTGAGAGGGTATCCCACACATACAACGGGGCTGTACAGTATCTTCCTAAAAAGATAGAAACATACAGACAGAATTAGAGTAAGACAAAAGTTAGTGGAAATGAGACAGTTTGTCATATAAATAAAGCAGTTGAGATGTTTGTCTCTGCTGTTTGACCAACGTTGTATATAAAACAAAGTTACTCCCTCCCCTCACATTCAAAGGAATTTCCTTTTCAACACCATGCAACAAGTTACAACACACACACCTTTCTCTCTTTGATTTTCCCCTTTGTGAGTTCAAACCCAGGAGGTATGCTCTTCCATTCAATTATACTTTCTGTGTGTGTGTGTGTGGCTGCATGGCTGCATGAGTCAGTCAACACTTCACACCATGTCCAGGTGCGTGTGTGCACTCATTCAGCCATGACACTGCCTGTAAATATGAGAAATATTCAAGAGGTTAAATGCTCTAATGAGTTTGTGAAACGATTCCCTCGGGGTAATGTAGACATTTCTGCTGCAAACTATTTCAGTGGTTTGTTAACTGTCATATATCATCTTCACAATCCTCAGATCTACCTTAAAGCTACTGGGTTCTTTGATGGTGCAGAAGTTTCAGTCCTACTACACTGTTTTACCTCAGGCAATGTTTTGTCATTTGTTTTATAGCTGTGTTGTTAGAACATGGACCACATTGAAAGTAGAGCCGTAACTAATGATTTCTTCACTTTGATGAATTATGAAGCTCAAAAGAGAAAAGATTGTTTAGTTAAATAAAAAAATGTCTTTCATTTTCTTTCAGTTGACTACTTGATTAATCACCAAATCGTTTGGGATTATTTGAGTCAGTTGCTTTATGTTTTTATCATTCACATGCTGTTAAAGTAAGATAACTGATTTAAAATATCAACTAATTTCTTGTCATAGTCAATGGATGTTTACTCATTTCTGCCGCAAGGGGGTCTTTCACATTAAAAAAATAACAAAAGTCAAAGTTTGGTGACATCTTGAAGTAGATTTGGCTCATTGGATTATCAACAGAGGCCTCCTCCTCTCTAAAATAAAATGGACACGGTGATTAAAACTGGTAAAGACAC